CCCGCCCCCATCACATGCCTCTCTGTGCCTGCCGCGTCGGCAGCTGGAGAGAAGGCTAGGCGGCGGCGGCGGCTGCTGCTTTTGGGCTGGCGTGACTGCGGTCGCGGCTCTGGGCTGGGCAGATGGCAGCGGCGGCAGCAGCGGGGGGGGGCGGGGGCGCCGCCGGGCGCCGGGCCGGGGGGGGGGGGGCCGCGGGCACAGCTTCGCCCTGCACGTGATCCCGCTTCCCGCCGCCCTGGTTGTCCTCAGCGGGGAAGGGGCCTTTAGGCGCGCCCAGGGAATTCCGGGGACCACAGACCACCACAAGGTTCAGTGGCTCAGCGGCCCCACCTAACAGCTGGAGCGCGAATGCCTAGTGATCTTTTGTGCCAAGCACTGTGCAGAAGGCGTTTCAGCCATTGTTAGTCTGGTTGCAGATCCCGGGCGAACCTGCAGTTACTAACCCCCAGCCAGACTCGAGTATGCAGGCTGCGCAGCTTCTTTGCATATCGTTGAAAATAGAGCTCATGTGGCTGCTGCCTTTAAGAGCAAAGCCTTTATGCCTCGGTACGTGTTTACTCTGGCCAGACTTAATTGTTCCTTGTCCTAGCTTTATGGTGGTCCCTGGAGCTGGGATTCTTAAATTCTCGCTTAATCTGAGGAATTGAGGTTCAGAAAGGATAAAGAACCCACCCCTTGGTGTGGGCTCCACTGCCTTCTGGGTGCACTGCGATGGTAACCCTGGGACATTGCTCACAAAGACATTTTCATTGGGTACTGGCTACCAGAACAACCCTCGTTAGCAGAAGCTGGAGGAGGGGCGCGTGTTGAGCATAGTAGGGGCTGTTTTGTTTACCTGGGGCTTTCCCTAGCTGGTGTACAGTGTTTGTATGGACAATGGAGGAGGCCATATTTCAGACAGGAAACTGCAAAAACTCAGGACGAGAATGTAGAACATTCTGGGAGCGAGAAGGCCTGTTGGCCCGGAGTGCAGAGCTTAAAGAGCAGGGAATACAGAAAAAACACCTCAGGCTAATTTGCTAATCAAGTAAGAAGAGCGTGGATGGCTTTGTATGCTGCAGAAGGCACTGTATTATTTTTAAAAATATCTTTATTACATTTTGTGTATTTGGGGTGGGTCCTGCTGCTCCTGGCTTTTGGAGGTCAGAGATCAACTGGGGAGAGGGCAGTGATTTGTCTTCTTAGAATCTTCTGTAGGTCCTAGGACTTGAATTCGGGTCATGAGACTTGTTTGCAGGTACCTTTATCTTTAGAGTTATTGCTGGCCCAGAATTTTTTTATTCTAATGGATGGGGGAAATTGTTGGGAGAATCTGATCCAATTAGCCTCCAACAGGCACCACATGCAGTCCTACAGGATGAGTTGGTTAAGGGTGAGACTTCAGGCCCAGGAGTAGATACATAGATAGCTGGAGGGTGGTGGTGGTGGTGCAATAGGACTGACAGACAGTGGGGATCAAGAGTAGAACACATTAGCTGAGCCCACCAGAAGGGTTTAATGTAAACACTTTGATTTAAAACAAAAAACAAACCCGGAGCCTCATGGTAGTGAAGCAAGCCTTTAATCCTAGCACTTTTGAGGCAGAAGCCAGTGGTTCTCTGTAAGTTCCAGGCCAGCCTGGTCTACATAGTGAGTTCCAAGACCACTGGAGCTATATAGTGAGGTCCTGTCTAGGAAAAACGAAAACAAAACAATCAATCAAAAAAGACCTAAACAGACACAAGCAATAAACAGATCCCGGAGAGGATTGGCCAGCACCATAGACAGCCTTCCTGCAGGGTGCTCAGAGGGATTCAGGGGATGGAGAATGGGAAGGATCTCTGGTTTCTGGAGTTAGAGTAATTGTGGATGCTCCACCTGAGAGGAGGAGGGATGATGTATTGTGAAGTTTGAAGTTCTTTGTAAGATAGTCAGGAAGAGGCTCTGTGAGCTAGCATTCAGTGGGCTCCAGGAAGGGTAAGAGCTGGAGGTGTGGTTTGGGAGCCAAGCTGCTGTGTGTGTGTGTGTGTGTGTGAAGAGCAAGAGCTTTGGAGCTGGCGCATGGGCAGGCTCCATATTTCCCTAGCAGAGGGGACCAGTAAGAGCAAGAGCTTGGGAGCTGGCGCATGGGCAGGCTCCATATTTCCCTAGCAGAGGGGACCAGTAGCCTGAAGGTACAGAAACAGGTCTGGAAAGCTGGTCTGGGGAAAGCCAGGGAGAGAGGGGTGTGGCCCATAGTTTGTTGGTTCAAGATGGAGACTGGAGGGAGAGGAACTTTGAATCTGGTAAAAGGTTATTGAGAGAGCATTGAGTAAAATGGTGGAAACAGAAGGTTTGTGAAGTGGTGGAGAACAGCAGGCATAGATTGGAGTTGAAGGAAAGTGTGTGCTGGATAGGGTAACAGCCAGCAGCTGCTAGTGGATATTTAACAGCGCCTGATTGCAAAGGACTCGGTTCTCCAGCTCCAGCCAGTTGGCAGTGTATCACAGTGTTCCTAGATCCTCTGCCTTTTCAGAGAGGGCTAAAACCAACCTTTTTATGTAAAATTCCTTAAGTTTTTTCAAAGTTGACAACTACTTTCAAAGAAACCCATTGAAGGGCAGTGGGATAATCTGTAGGGAGGGCGTGCAATTTCTTTTCATGGTGCTTGGCTGCGAAAGGGAGGAGGGGGCATCCAGTGGGAATTTGAGAATAATGGAGAGGGTACATGAACCCCTCTTTCAGTGTATCCCCTTTGGGAGCTCCGCTTCTTGGCTTCTAGGACTGTGCTTGGTCCCTGCAGAGGGGCTTTAAGGTGTTGGAGCCCTTGGGAACCTTGAGTGAGAAGTATCAGCCAGGGTGTGACCTGTAGACAGGAACAACGGTGTGTCTTGGTGAGGTCTCAGGAAGGAGATAAAGGTGGTTGCACATGCAAACTAGTAGGTCCTTGTCACAGCAATGGGCTTGAGGAAGGTGGGGAAGTTCAGTCCTGGAAGAAAATACAACTCGAAGGTGCACAGCTGGCCTACACAGCATTGGAGATGGGTTTTAACCTCTGTAATTGCCATCTTGGGTATGAATTCCAAGTTGTGGTAGGCTGTTCTGTGCATCACTGGACATTTAAGTTCATCTGGGCCTCCACTAGATGCCAATTACACACTTGACCTTGTCAGTCCTGATACCTCAAGGTATCTCCAGACATGTCCAATTTCTCAGGATGGGGGAGGGTTGGATCAGGAGCCCCCTGTTTGCCCACCTCCATTTTCCCTCTCAGTTGCGATGTTGAGAGTGTTGACTGCTCATCAGAAATGAGTACAGCAGGGATGGGGGCTTGGCTAGTGCTTAGTATACAAATGTCACTGCTTGAATTTAGATCCCCAGGAACCACATAAAAAGCCAGGCATGACTACACACGTCTGTATACCCAGCAGTAGAGGACAGAGACAGGCAGATCTCGGGGGCTTGCTGGCTAGCCAGTCTAGGCAAACCAGAGAGCTCCAGGTTCAAAGAGAGACCTTGTCTCAAAAAAATAAAAGAGTAAAGGTAGAAAAGCAATTGAGAAAATATCACAGCATTAACCTCTGGCTTCCACAAGTATCTGTACAGGTTGGGGAGAGAGAGAGAGAGAGAGAGAGAGAGAGACAGAGAGAGAGAGACAGAGAGAGAGAGACAGACACACACAGACAGACAGACAGACAGACAGACACACACACACACACACACACACACACACACACACACACACACACACTGTGGTTTAAGCAGGAGTGCTGAGGATGGGGTACTGGTGGTATAAGTAGAGTCAAGAGTTGGAGGAGTTCAAGGCGTGGTCAGGATAGATGTGTAGTTGAGGATATACCACAGGATAGATAAGAAAGCCATTGTCAGATCTTGCCTTTATCTTCTCCTCAGAGTTGTTGGAGTATCAAAAAATGTTAATACATTTTCATAGTTTTTATTTTATTTTTTTTTTTTCTGAGACAGGTTCTTACTGTGTAGCCCTGGCTGTCGTGAAACTCGGTCTGTATAGCACAGGCTGACGTCAAACTCAGAGATCTGCCTGCCTCTGCCTCCCAAGTTGGGGATTAAAGACCACTGCCTCGTTGCACATTTTTATGAAGTTCTTGTTTTTGTTTTGTTTTGTTTTGTTTTGGGGGGGGTTCGGGACAGGATTTCTCTGTGGCTTTGGAGGCTGTCCTGGAATTCACTCTGTAGACCAGACTGGTCTCAAAACTCACAGAGATCCCCTCCTGCTTCTGCCTCCCCAGTGCTGGGATTAAAGGCATGGGCCACCATGGCCCTTCTTTTATGAAGTTCTTAAACAGTGCCTTGATATAATGTATAGTAAATGCCCAATAAACTGGATTATGGAAAGAAAGACTTTGAATAGGTGTGGACCAACCCCAAAGCTCCATGCTGTCATTGAGATCTCATTTCTTTTCTTGGATTTGCTCAGTTCTTTGCTCCCTGCTATACTCAGGGCAGAAATGATTCATTTCACTATGATTTTCAAAAGTTACTGTTCTGTTCGTGGGCCTTTTAGCTTGGATCCTGTCTGTCTTGGATTCTGGGTGACCAAGAGGATGGAATAGAATAGGAAGAGTTCCAGACCAGTAGGATGGGAGAGGAGAGAGAGGAGATCCCACTGAGCCCTGGATGGCAGAGGGGATAGTTCACCAAAGGAGCACGGAGAAGCTGTTACTGAAACGATGCTTTAATAATACAAAATGACGGGCAGTGGTGGGGCACGCCTTTGATCCCAGCATTTAGAAGGCAGAAGTAGGCAGATCTCTGTGAGTTCTGGTCTACAGAGTGAGTTCCAGGACAGCCAGGGCTATAGAGAGGAACCCTGTCTCCTATATATATTATATTTATTATGTATGTAAACAGGTCTACTTTAGGTCCCTCTCTCTACAATGTAGGTTCTGGGGAAGGAACTTAGGTATCAGGATTGGTGGTAAGGGCCTTTATAAACCAAACCACCTCTTTTGCCCGGTTTTTTTTGTTTGTTTTTGTTTTTTTATACGGGGTCTTGCTATGTAGAGCCTGGACTGGACTGGTATTTAGCCCAAGGCAGTCTTGAAAGTATGGCAGTCCTCCTGTCTCAGCCTCCTGAGAGCTGGAATTGCTGATTACCAACACCATGCTAGCTAGTGCATGTGTCATTATTCCATGTGACTGAATACAGCATTGCCCCTAATGAAAAACTCTGAGAGCTATTATGAGCTGAGTGTAATCCAGTTAGCTGGCTCCCTGTGGGGGTCTCAAGTGTTGCCAGTATTGTGCACGTGGTTGGTCCCTGACTGTGGATTCTAACTCTGGTCTGATCAAAATGAAATGTAAAGTGGATCCCTTGGTCTTGCTCCTGCCTGGACTTGCTCCCATACAATAGCCTGCCTCCCTTCTCCTCCACTTTTCTTCCACCCCTGGAGGCTTTGGCTTGCAGTCTACTGTTTCAAAATCCAGAGCTGAGGTGCTCTCCTAGCTTGGAGTCCAGATAACAGCATTCCTACTGGTTCTGGCAGATTTCCCTGTAGGCCGAATTGAATGATTGATGGCCTGTAGAGTCCTGGGTTGTTGCCCTGAGGAAAAACTCCTTGTGCAGTGAGCACTGCTGGAAGCTTGAGTTGGGCTTCTTGGGGTAACAGCTTCTAGCCTCCAGGCTCTCCTTGCAATTACTCTCTGCTTCTGGTGACAGAGTCGTGACCCTGGTGATGGGTTGGCAGATGGCTGAGACCAGTTCATTCTCTACTGCTGTCTTAATACCTTTGACCCAGAGCAGAACAGGAACAGGCTTGCAGCAAATCTAGGAACACTTTTTATTAAGCAAATATGTGACAACAGTGTTATTTCTTGAACTCTCCTTGTCCCTTCCAAGGACAGCCTCAGTAAGAAGCCTGGATGTCCATTCTCAGTGACCTGAGGACTGTGACGTCACAAAACAAAGCTGTTTTGTTTTGCTGGCTGTTCCTTCTGTCCCTCTAGCTTTTCTTTGGTTTAGAGTTGTGTCAGACACATCCCAGCAGCTGTTGTCACCTATCAGACCAGTTGCTGGGTCCTCTGGGGGTCATTTTCTCTATAGCTGTCTGAGGCCTCTGAAATAGCTTGGCCAGTCAGGGATTATATGTTCAGAGACATTTCAGAACTGAAATAGCCACTCTGTCAGCAACCATGGCCCAGGCATCCTAGCCCCTCACAACAGACACATTCATTCCTTAAGTGATTATCTGTGCCAGAGATGTGCTGGTTCTGGAGCAGGTAAAGGTGAGAAATTCCCTCATTCCCGCCTCGAGGGAGTCAAATTTCTCCAAGAGCCAGCCCTGCCTTTGTCAAGGATCCAAACCTTCCCACCAGGACTTGGAGCCAGGCTGACCTGGGACCTAACTTTTGTTTGTATGGTTTTCTTGCTCCGTACCTGGAACAGAGTTTCCTCCCTGTAAAGGGTGAGATGATAAAGATAGCATCAGTGTTAGCCCTTCCAAGGACTTTGTCCTGGTGTCCTTAGAAAGCAGCTAGAGAAAGAAACAATAAATGTGACAGCCATTACTTTAGGGCTGTAGTAACCCTTGAGTGAATCCTTGCCCCAAATCTAGCAGATAAAGAAGAAACATCTTGTGCCATGTGGAGCCTTTGGCTGCTTCCCTTGGCTAAGGGTTTGGGGCCTTCCTAACTTTCTTTGATACAGTGGACCCTGTCTGTGCTGTGCCCTTCCTCCCCAGGAACCCCACAGAAGGGAATGAAGGAGAAGGCTGGATTCTGCATGCTGGGCTCTGCTGGTCTTTTGCCTCCAGGTCTAAATTCCTTTGAGGTGTCAACCTTGACCTTGTTGTGTTCTGAAGCTGAAGCTTGAATGGTGAATCACTTTTAGGTGATTCAGACACTGAGTCTGAGAAGCACTGTGTTAAAAAATTTATTTGAATAGCTATCGATGGTCCTTAGACCCTTAGAATAACTAGGCAACTTTTTTTTTTTTTTTTTTTTTTTTTTTTTTTTTTTTTTTTTATTTACTTTCTTAGCCGGGCGTTGGTGGTGCACACCTTTAATCCCAGCACTCGGGAGGCAGAGGCAGGCGGATTTCTGTGAGTTCGAGGCCAGCCTGGTCTACTAGAGCTAGTTCCAGGACAGCCTCCAAAGCCACAGAGAAACCCTGTCTCAAAACCAAAAAAAAAAAGATTTACTTTCTTTTTAATTTTGTGTATGTGTGTTTGTATGTATTAGTGTAGGTGTTCAAGGAGGCCAAAAGAGAATGCCAAGACCCCTGGAGCTGGAGTTACAGGCAGTTGTGAGTGGCTCAACATGGGTACCGGGCACTGAACTCAGGTTCACTACTTGCTCTTAACCACTGAGCCATCCCTCCAGCCCCAAGACTTACAATTAAAACATTTACTACATTTGGTTTTGTTTATTTTAAAATTATGCCTCTGTGTGGGTATGCCACTGTGTAGGTACCCCAGGAAGCTAGAAGATGGCATTGGATCATCTGAAGCTAGAGTTTCAGATAGTTGTGAGCCACCCAAGATGGGTGCTGGGAACTGAACTCAGGTCCTCAGCAAGAGCAGTACACACTCCTACACACTGAGCAATGTCTAGCCACGTGTTACTTATTTTGTTATGTTCAAATGTGTGCTGAAGTCAGTTTTCTCTCTTAACCATGTGGTTCCCGGGGGTCAAACTGAGGTTGTCAGGCTTAGTGATTGCCTGACCAGCTGAGCCATCTCACCAAATGTCAACTTCCAAATTTTGTAGGGTAAGGTTTATCAGAGTAATTTGTTTATTTATTTTTGAGCTAGGTTTTCTGTTTAACGCTAATTGTGCTGAAACTCACTCTGTAGACCAGGCTGGCCTCAAATTCACTGAGATTCGACTCCCCCTGCTTCCTGAGTGCTGGGATTAAAGGCATGCATCACCACCGCCTGGTTTATTGAGGTAATCTTTATGGGAAGTCATTTCATGGTTAGTCAGGGAGCAGCTGTATTTCATACCTATTTGGAAAGCCTTGTGCTAAAGGAATAATGTGGCATCTGACTTGAAGGGTTTTAATCTCTGTAGTTACAATAAGGCATATGCATGATTTTTATAGGAAAAGGCAGAGATTATTGATTACTTACTCTGTGCTGGCACTTTAGACATTTTTCCTAAATCATGTGAGGGTTGAAAATACTGTATTCCTATCTGGGCATGGTAGTGCACACCTTTAATTCCAGCAATTGGGAGACAGAGGCAGGCGGATCTCTGTGAGTTTGAGGCCAGCCTGGTCTACAGATGGAATGTGTTCGAAGTGTGGATGATCAATGTGTCCTGCAACTCATATTGATTTCTTGCAGCTAGCTGCGTTCTTCATCGATGCCCAAGCAGAGTGATCTACCTCTAAGAGTCGTATCAGAGTTTCAGATGTGGAAGAGATGAACTCCACCCAGTGAGCTGATGCTGGCATGTGCCCCCCCCCCAGAAAGGAGGAGGTGGGGACAGATAGGGTTTGCCTCAGGCTGGCCATCGATACACAACCAGGGCTACACAGAGAAACATGTCTCAAAAAGAAAGAAAAAAAAAAGCTATATTCCTTATTTTTTATGATTAAAAGAGAGTTAGTTCAAGGATATTAATTGATGGTTGTGATTATTTAGGGTAGAATTAGAGATCACCACCATAAAGTGGTGGTTGGAGAGAAATGGCATTAGAATGCCAGTCTTCACCTGCTGTTGGGAAGTTGAGGCTGCTGGAGTTGGGAATCAGCCTAGGCAAAATAGCAAGACCCTGTGAAAAAAGAAAAAAAAAGTTTTGAGGAGTCTATTTTGTATGGAGATAAAGATCAAGGGAATTATTATTATTATTTATTATAATATTACTTTTGTGGTACTGGGATGGAACCAGGGCTTCACATATCCTAGGCAAGTGCTCTACACCTGGGCTCGGCTCCAGCTCCTGAGGCAGTCTTTAGGAAACTGTTTGAATTGTGATCTGATTGGCAGATAGGGTTCTGCAAGATAGGGCCCTGTGTGTGTGTGTGTGTGTGTGTGTGTGTGTGTGTGTGTGTATGTTGGGGTGGAGGAGCTCTGTGTTTAGGATAAAAGTTCATAGATAGGCCCTTTGATTCTCATATGACCTCCACATGATACAGATGTGGCTGTGGCAGGAAGCAGTTTGCTTTCTCTAGGTTGAGGATGGACTCCTGAGGAATCAGGAGGAAGGAAACTTGGTACTGGAGCGGTATGGTGAGAGGAGTTTTTTTCTAGCAGAAAGAATTCTGATATGTCTTAAAAATTTTTTAAATTATATTTTAATGTGTGTGTGTGTGTGTGTGTGTCCTACTACAGTGTGAAAGTTAAAGTCATTTTTTAAAATTATATTTTAGTGTGTGTGTGTGTGTGTGTGTGTGTGTCCTACTACAGTGTGAAAGTTAAAGTCAGAGGAAAAGTTTTTGGAGTCGTTTTTTCCTTCTACCATGTGGGATCAATTCAAGTCTTTGAGCTTGGATACTTGTGGATCCATCTCGTTGGCCTCCCAAGGAGTCTAAAGAGAGGGTGGCATCTGAGAGTAGGAAAAGACCTCTGGGGAAGGAAATAACATCAGATTTCACCCCTGAGAATAGATCTTCTCAACCAGGGCAAGGGTGGACAGCCCAGAGTCAAGAATATTGTAGGAAAAGCGAGAACCAAAATAGATTTCCTGTGGCAGGGTATTGTCTCTCTGTTATGGGGCTAAGAAACTGACAGCTCCCAGATGCTACCCCAGCCAACCATAGTGCAAAGCCAGGATGGAAGCTCACCGCCTGACTTGGTTTAAGTTTTATAATGGATTACATATAGGTATGAAATATGAGTATATAGTTTCTGGCATGACACTATAGGCATGAAGGCGGCACACACTGGCATGAAGGCGGCACACACAGACCAACTTTGGCCCAAGAAATGGCCATGCTTACTAATTAGTTTTCTCATTTGTGTATCCAGCGTGTCTTTATTTCTGGCACGTGGTACTGACTGTGGTGAACAACCCAGGCATCGTCCCTGCCCCTCTCAGCTCCCTATCTACTGATCTGACCTCTAGAGCTATGTCGTCACAGCCTATGCAGAAGGTACAAATTTCTTTTGTTACTCTTTCTTTAATTTTATGGTTGATTCCTTGACAGACAAAGCCACAGACCCAAGCATGGTGGAGCAGGATTGGTCAGCTATCCAGAATTTCTGTGAGCAGGTGAACACCGACCCCAATGGGTAAGTTCCTTTAGAGAAACACTTGACTATGGGAGCATGAGATAGAACTCAAACCCTTATCTCTGGGTCTGCAGCTGGGAATGTTTCATTCTTCTTTTTCCTTTACAATCTAAGCAAATTGGTATTTAAAAAAAAAACCCAAAAAACAAGTTGTTTTGTTTTTTGTTTGATTTTGGGTCTCCCTATGAAATCCTGGCTTCTCCAGAGCTCCATATATAGACCAGGCTGATCTTAAACTCACAGAAAACCTTCTGCCTCTGCCTCCTGAATGCTGGGATTAGAGGTGCATCATACCATGACTGACTATTTTTTAACTAAGACTTTTTTTTTTAATGGTATTATGTTTTAAAACACATTGAACTAGGTTCCTCAATAATTGGAAACATACTGATAAATTAGGATTTAATGATTTAAGAGAAGTGGCATGGTGACGCCCACCAGAGAAACTCCATCTCAAACTCTCCTCCCACCCCCCCAAAAAAGAAATTTATTTAAATTTACATGTGTTTTACCTGCATGTATGTAAATATAGCACATGCATGTCTGGTGCCCACAGACTAAAAGAGGTCAGATTCCCTGGACTGGAGTTCTGGGGATAGTTATGAGCTGCCATGTGGATACTGGGAACTGAACCCAGGTCTTCTGCATGTGCTCTCAGTGCTTTTAACTGCTGAGCCATTTCCTAGCACTCTGTTTATTATGATCTAGATACACTATTTTATGTAGGAGAAAGAGTGGCAAGGCTTTATTTTATTTTAATTTTGTATTTGCAGTGATGAGCATTGGACTCAGGGCCTTATGCATGCTTAGCATACACTCCACCACGGAATCACATTTCTACCCTAGAACAAGGTTTTTTGAATTTATCTCCAAAGCCCGTGCAAAGGAACTGAGAAATAGTAATTTACCCAAATGTTGACCTACATGGTGCTACATAGTCACCCGTTTGGAGTATGCTCAAAGCTTTCACTCTTCCTGCTCTAGTGTTCACTGAGTGGTTATCATAGTGGTTATGGGGTCTTTGTTGCTCTGAGCTTTGACTGCCTCGCCTGCTATTCTGGGAGTGGCCAAGGGGAATATGATATAGCCTGAGCAGACACTGGCTCCAAGTACTATAGACACAACTAGGGTGCGGGGCATCAGTGTCTCAGGTTTATGTTCTAGCTCTGCCAGGTATACTCTTCCTCTGCTTTGGGACACTGTTTTGAAAGGGGGCAGCTTGAAATGAGCGTGTGCTTAGATGGTCCACCCCACCCAGAATCCGGGTCTGTTTTGATTTTTCTTCAGCCCAACACATGCGCCCTGGCTACTGGCCCACAAGATCCAGTCTCCACAAGAGAAGGAAGCCCTTTACGCCCTGACGGTGAGTTGGCTGGCCACTCAGTCCACGCATTCCTCTTGAAACTCTAGAAAGAACATTGAGGTCACTAGACAGGTTCTCCTTTCCAAGCATTGACAACAGGCCAGGGGGGGTTCCCAGACGCTTACAAAGACGGCACTGAGCCCACTTCTGGAGAAGGAAAGGAGGGGTTCACTTCCATTTGCCTCCCCAACTTGGATCAGGGCTGGCAACCATCAGAGTGAATACACATGGAAGGTATTGTTGTTGTGTCTGTACAGGCAGCTGCTGTTCAAGCCTCGCTCATGGTTGCTATGGCTAAGTTTGGGCCAGTGTTATTGGAATTTCACCTTCCCAAAAGAAACCAAAAGTCCAGATTTTAATATGAATTCTCTGAATATGTAGATAATGATGGAAACACTTTTAAAAAGAGGGGGGTGTTTAGTTTACATGTAAGTAAATGCACCATATGCATATCTGGGTGTCCACAGAGGCCCAAGAGGACACAGGTTCCCCTGGACCTGAAGTTGTAAACCCTCATGTGGGTGCTGGGAATTGAACCTGGTTCCTCAGCGAGAGGATCAGGTCTTAACCACTGGGTCATCTCTCCAGCCTGTCCCCTCCCTTTTTTGAAAATGAAGTATTTCCTATTTCTAGAATTGAAAATAAGAACAATTTAAGAACAATTACTATCTGTAAAAGAAAGTTGGAGGCTGGCTGTGTAATCCAGCACTTGGAAGGTTAAGGCAGGAGGATTCTAGCTAGAGATCAGGCTGGGGAAAAACTGGTGTGGTGGTACAGGCTTATAATTCCAGCATTCGGGAGGCAGAAGCAAAGGGAATGCTGTAAGATTAGACTAGTCTGGGCTAGATAGGGAGTTCTGGGTCAGCCAGGGCTATGCCATGAGGGTCTGTTTCAAAAACAGAGACTCATTTGATAATAAAAATCATAGTGATCTGGGCATGGTGGTTTATACCTTTAACCCCAGCTTTTGGGAGACAGAGGCAGACAGATCTTTGTGTTTGAGGACAGCCTGGTCTACATATGTCTACATATCAAGTTTCAGAACAGTTAAGGATACATAATAGAGGGATCCTGTCTCCAAAAAAGAAAAGAAAAGAAAGAAAAAAGGAAAAACTAGTCTGGACTCAGGAATGCAGTCTCAGCTTGCCTTTGGATGCCAAGGTTAGTGGAGCAAGCAGTTCTTAGCACTGGGGAGGGGAAGACCCTTAGGCCAGTTTCGCTTGCCCAAAGAGTCATCTAAACATTCCACTGGGCTTCTTCTGGACACCTCCATGGCACTTCTAAACAGAGGACATTGTTGTTTTAAGACAGAATCTCACTGTGTAGCCCCTTCTGGCCTGAACAAGAGATCTACCTGCTTCTGCTGGGATTAAAGGTGTGTGTCACCACATGTGGCCATTGTTTTTTGGCTTTTTAAAATATTTATATCACATGTGTCACATGTGCCTGGTGTCTGGGAAGGCCAGAAGAGGGTGCCATATCTCCTAGAACTGGAGTTACAGAGTTACAGTATATAGCACAATGTGGGTGCTGGGAATTGAACTTGGGTCCTTTGGAAGAGCAGCTGGTGTTTTTTTTATACAGTATATAGCACAATGTGGGTTCTGGGAATTGAACTTGGGTCCTTTGGAAGAGCAGCTGGTGTTTTTTTTATTTTTTATTATTTTTTTCTTCATAGATTTATGTATATGGGTATTATGCCTGCATGCACAGATAAGTGTGCCACATGAATTCCTGATGCCATGGATCCTCTGGAACTGGAATTATAGACAGTTGTGAGCTGCCTGCCATGTGGGTGCTGACAACTGAACTCAGGTCCTCTAGAGGAGCAGCCAGTGCTCTTCACCGCTGAGCCATCACTCCAGCCCCATCATCCCCTACCTCCACTTCCATCCAAAACAGGGTTTCTCTGTGTAGCTCTGGCTGTCCTGGAACTTGCTCTGTAGACCAGGCTGTTTGTTTGGTTTTTGGTACAGGAACTCATGTAGCCCAGGCTGGCTTTAAATTCAGCAGTGTAGCTAAGGATGAATTTCAAAAACTTATCATCCTGCCTACTTCCCAAGTGCTGGGATTACAGGTGTGCACACCTAGTTGTGCTGCTGGGGTGTAGCTTAGAGCTTCAAGCATGCTAGCAAAGGCTACCTACCACCTGAACCATAGCCTCAGCCCAGCATAGTTTTCGTGATCAGAAGATGTTTGCTTTCTCCTAAAGGCCTGGGGTCTTGAGGAAGGACTTGAGGGAAAGTTAGCTCTGGTTCTACGCGTCAGCAGCTAAGGTCTGTAAACCTGGAGGCGAGCCTGTGGTGCTGGCTTTCCCTTATGGGGACCTTGTTTGCAGGTTCTGGAGATGTGCATGAACCACTGCGGGGAGAAGTTCCACAATGAGGTGGCCAAGTTCCGCTTCCTGAACGAGTTGATCAAAGTATTGTCCCCAAAGGTAAGTACGTGGATTTGGCATGCTCACTATATTGCACCCGTACCTCACCTTCAGGCTTGTCACCCTATAGATGAGAGGCGTTTTTGAACAGAACCTGCCTGTGTGTTGGGAGCAGAGGCCCTTCGTGCAAAAGCTGTCTCCTTGCCAACAGCTGGAAGGGGGCAGTCAGGTTCATAGCTAACCTCTGTCCTTCCAGTGTTAGCATTTCTGTTTTCCCTTGAAAATGGCATCACCTAGCCAGGTGGTAGTGGTGCATGCCTTTAATCCCAGCACTCAGAAGACAGATGCAGGTGGATCTGGGTGAGTTTGAGGCCAGCCTGGTCTCCATAGTGGGTTCCAAGGCAGCCAGGGCTACACAGAAAAACCCTGTCTTGAAAAATCAAAAACAAACAAAACAAAACAAAAGGCATCATTTGTGAGCTGTGTGGCCTACAGGAGGTGGGAAACTCTAGCGTGAGGCCCTGGTTTCCTGGTAGAGATAGTGGAGTGATAGCTGGGTGTGACTGGTTCACATTGCCTCTTGCCTTGTCCCCTGCTCCTTTGTTCCTAGCACTTGTATCAAGCTATGTCACTCACATGCCACTGGCATAGGGATCCTTTCGTGGATGGGACCTGTAGACTGAGTTTTCTTTGGACCGCCAGCTCACAAGTACCAACATGGAAACTTATTATTAATTATGAAAGCTTGGCCTTATCTTAAGCTTGTTCCTAACTAGTTCTTATAACTTGAATTAACCCCTGTCTTTTAATCTATGTTCTTTTACGTGGCTTGGTTACTTTTACTCTGTACTGTCCATTCTGCAACTCCATCTTTCTTTTTCCCTGAGATCTTTCTCTACCTGGAAGTCCCACCTATCTCTCCATTGCTCATTCAGCTTTTTATTACATCAATCACAGCAATACATCTTCACAGGCTGTAAATATCCCACAACAGGAACCAGCCACAGTTCTCTGACACCGAGTGTGCATCCTACAGTTTAGTTGAGTTCTGACCCTTTCTGGTCTTTTTATTGTTTTGTTTGGCTGTCTGTGACCAGGCTGGCCTCACACTCAGAGTGCTCAGATTATGATAGAAGCCTCCGCTCCTGGTCTCTGACTGGTTTTAAACATTCTTGGCACCCTTCATATAAAGGGCTTAGTCCTACCTATACCACCTGTTTCAAGAGCCAATCTTAAGCTTTGAATGTCTTCAGTACTAAACACTGCATGATGCCAGTTGGGGGTTTTCAGGATTCTTTCCCTCCAGGTCCATAATTCATTAGAACCCCCAGAGAACACAGGAAAGCACTGTATAATATAAACAGGAATAACCCACGGGGAGAGCTTGGCATGGGGAAAAGGCCTGTATACCCTCTTAGCACTTTGGTTCTGGGGTTTTTATTGTTGTAGTTTGTTAGGTTTTTTGTTTGTTTGTTTGTTTTTGTTTTTTGAGACAGGGTTTCTCTGTGACCAGGCTGGCCTCGAACTCACAGAGATCCTCCTGCCTCTGCCTCCCGAGTGCTGGGGTTAAAGACATGTGCCACCACCACCCGGATGTTATGTTTTTTTGTTTTTTTGTTTTTTAAGACAGGATTTTACTGTGCAGCTCAGGCTGGCTTTAAATGTGTGACAATTCTCTAGCCATGGTCTCCCAGCTACTAGGACTATGGGAATAAATCACTGTCCTCGATCCATGATGAGCTTTGGTATTTTTGGTGGAAGTTGGATTGTTTTGAATCTAGAAGAGGCTTTGGGGTCTGGTGCCAGGGAATTTGTCCTCCGGGTGTATCTCAATTCCAGTCTAGCTCACATCTGGACTTCAGTAGTATCTCTTTAGGGGAAATTCTGGCCAGGTGGCCGAAGTCCCTTCCAGCTCTCTAATTCTCCTATTTACTTTAGTACCTAGGGGCCTGGGCCACGGAGAAGGTTAAAGGAAGAGTTATCGAAATCCTCTTTAGCTGGACAGTCTGGTTTCCAGAAGACATCAAGATCCGAGATGCCTATCAGATGCTGAAGAAGCAAGGTCTGACCTAAGTGTTCATGTCTCCTGTCCTCACTGTGGTGTTCTTTTTCTGGGTACAGGGTCTCCTGTAGCCTAGGCTTGTCTGACGCTCACTATGTAGCTGAGGGAGACCTAGCTCCTTATCCTCCTGCCTTCACCTGTCATGTGCCGCCACTGTGCCTGTTTTGTGTTGCTTTTTTTTTTTTTTTTTTAAATGCAGTGCTGGGATGAAATCCAGGCCTTCATGCATAGGAGGCCAGCACTGTGCTACCTAAGATTCCCTTTATTGCTCAGGCTGGAGCTGGCAAGATGACTTGCCATCTCTGGAACACACATGGTTGAGGAGAGAACCAACTCTCCCAAGTTGTTTTCTGACTTCACTTGTGCACCCTCCTCCCGATAAATAAATTAAAAAAAAAGTGTAAAATGATCTTATATACATAGCTCAGGCTGGCCTTCAATTCATGATTCTCCTGCCTCAGCTTCCCAGGGCTGGGATGATCCACGGTACCTCAGCTGTGTTTACTAGCTTGCCTCCCATTGATCCTCCTAAGTACCATCTTTCCTTAGACTTTTAGGTTAAGTGGTTGTTGGCTGTTGTTGGCCCATGATCCCAACATGTGGCTTTAAGAAGAGTTGTTAACTTGCAAGTTGCCCAGTGTCTTGGGATGTTGGTATGGGAGTTATAGTCTTTTTGTGCTCTGTCTGGTTCTTGGATTCCTTTCATGTCAGGCCCTTTGGAAGAAGGAACTGGGCTCATCACTCATTGTTTGCCCCTGCTGCATGCACTCAGCCTTTTGGGAGATGCATCAGGGGTCTTGCAGTCGTCTCTGGGCCTTGGGGAGTCCTGGAGCTGTGAAAACCATGGAGTACAGGTCTTAAGACCAGGTTCTGGCCTGATTTTGTGGCAGTTCTTGAATTCCTGAGGTGATATAAGGCCTTGATCAGACCTCGTGTATGTGTTTTTGTTTGTTTCTATCTGTAGAAATATTTTATTTTAGGTGGGTATTTTTATTTAGGTAGGTACTTGCATAAGCTAGGCAAGCTCCCTACCAGTAAGCTACATCAGGAGGGTTTGTTGAAGGCTATTGATGTTTAATGAAATTGTTACTGGGGAATCAGGGTCCCTTTTATGAGTTCTTACACTTGTAGATAAACACAAAAGGAAACTGGAGACAGTATTATTGGAGTTTGAGAGAAAAAGACAAAAGGTCATGGGCAAAATCTGAATCTCCTCATCTTCAGGGACATAGAAAAAAGGAGGATAGAAAGCGTTGTATTCTCAGTTATAAGTTGAAGAATTAGCAGGAAGGCCCTGCAGCAATGGAGAGGGGTGAGGGGGCTTAGGATGGTGTTTGAAAGGTGGCTTACTGGGTAACTGTGCTTGTGTACAAGCATGAGGGTGAGTTTGAATCCCTGATGCCCAGGTAAAATGCTGGGCTTGACATGTGCGCAGCCCTGTGGAGGGGAAAGGTAGGAGAATTGCTAAGGCTTGTCGGCTACCAGCATAGCTCAATTTTATACAGATCCTATCTTAAAGCGAATAAGGGCTAGTTGTGGTGGCATACTCCAATAGGATTTGCTGACGGAGGAGAAGACAGGAGGGTCAGAAGTTCAAGGCCAGGCTATGCTAAACATTTTCAAAAGGGCTGAAGAGATGGCTCCGTGGTTAAGAGCACTGGCTGCTCTTTGAGAGGACCCTAGTTCAATTCCCAGCACCCACATGGTGACTCACATCTGTCTGTAAATCCAGTTCTAGGGGATCCAGTACTCTCACACAGACATACAAACAGGCAGAACACCAATGCACATAAAACAAACATAAATTTTTTAAAAAAAATGTAAAAACACAGAGAGAGAATATGATGGGAAATGATTGATCACAATACCTAATATCTTCCTTTGGATTTGAGAGTGTATGCAAAGGCTTTTAAAGTTAAAACTCAGGCAGGGCAGTGGTGGTGCACCCCTTTAATCCTAGCACTCAAAAGGCAGAGGTATGCAGATCTCTGAGTTCAAGGCCAGCCTGGTCTATAGGTGAGTTCCAGGCCAGTCAGGGATACACGGAGAAACCCTGTTTTAAAAAACCAAAAAAAAGTTAGAACTCAGGGCTGTAAAGATATCTTAATGGATAAAGCACTTGCTGTGCTAGTCTGAGGCCCAGAGTTAAAATCCCCAGAACTTATACAGAAGTTGGACAGGCATGGTGACTATCTGTAAATTGAGCACTCAGGACAAGTGACAGGATTTCCTGGGCAAGCAATCTAGCTGGACTTGTCATATTAAGTGAGCTGACATCAGCTTCCAGCTTCTACACACATGCCCCCAAAGTGCCCACATACATGTGAGCATTCACACGTACATTACACATGCAAAAAGATAAATCAAAAAACCAAAAAAGTCAGAACTCTGAAAAGTTGCCAAGCTCAGCAGCGAGGATCTGCGTGGAGTGTCATTCTCTGGGGTGTGTAAGCACAAAGCTCACGTGCCTTCAGGAGTATCGTGTTTCTTGAAGTTATACCTTTTTTGAGAGGCAGTTTCCTATGCAGGTGATGACAGTTATCCATTCAGATTAACTTTTTTTTTTCTTAAGATTTTATTTATTGTGTATACAACATTCTGCTTCCATGTATATCTGCACACTAGGGAATTGAACTCATGACCTCTGGAAGAACAGTCAGTGCTCTTAACCTCTGAGCCATCTCTCCAGCCCCCCAGATTAACTTTTAAAGGAGGAAAAATAGAACGTCTTTGTGATCTTACAGTCTTTCTCACGGTGTCAAATGTCGTATCTCCACCAGGGCCATTAGTGTGACTTGGATACTTTTCTTTTTTTTTTTTTTTTTTTTTTTTTTTTTTTTTTT